AGTGTGGAAAAAAGTGGATAGCATAGGGGAATATCAAAGTAGGCTCGTATGGATTTTTTTCTAAAATAAATTCAATATTTTCGGGAGTTTGAGTGTTGTGTGTATATGCCCTGGTGGCCCAGGGAATTCCCATGATGTGGTCGATTTTTGAATTATATCGTCCTGGAAATATATCAAAAGTCCACATAGTTTCATTTAAAGATAAAGGTTATTGGGCCACGAACATTCGTCGATCCTTTTTTGATTTAGTGCGGCGTATGCGTGTTGCCAATATGTATACGCCCAGTCCAGTAAAATACTAAACTATGCTCGATATGATTTACTTCGAAATAAAATACCCCCAATATTAACGAAATATGAAGTTTCGTCTGCCTTCTTTGAAGTTGTGGAGCGTAAGAGTATTGAAACCATGTATACACCCTGATATGATCAGGAAGTTCCAGGAAGTCATCCTCGCTTTGATAACAAAATTGATATGGTCCCGAAAAATAACAAAATTTCATGGATTTTTCAAATCGAAGGCCAGTTTTACTAGGACTGTCTTGATTGATGTTTCGGGGCGTATAAGTGGGAATTCTATGCATGCGTCCTGATTTTCCAGGGAAATTCCCATGATATGCTCGATGTGATAATAGGAAAATAAGGTCCATGAATATTGGTCTGTCTTTTTTGCCTTGTTGGGGCAAAATAGGTTCGAGTTGAAGGGATTACAAAAGGCATACCACAAATATTGAGGAAATTTTCGTTTGTCTTTTTGATGATCTGGGTAGTATGAGTGTTGACCCCTTGTATACGCAGTGTTGGCCCAGGGAATTTTCATGATAAACTCCTTTTGATAATAAAATCAATATGGCTCCTTATCAAAAATTTAACAGGTTTTTTTCAAATTAAAGATTACCGTTATTGGGCCATGACTACTAGACAGACTTTTTTTGGTGTTTTAGGGCGTATGGGTTCTAGCAATATGTATACGCAAGGAAGTATGCTTGACTTGATTGAATCCTAAAATAAATACGAAATATACCCCATATATTGACGAAATATGATTTTTTCCTGTTTTTTGTGTTTCGGAGCGTATACATTTTGATGACATGTATACGCCCTAATGGCCTAGATAATTCCCTTGATAATTTAATCGACATGGCTGGGGAAAAATATCAAAATTTCACAGATTTTCCAAAAAAAGGGAGGTTACAGGGCCATGAGTATTGGTCTGTCTTCATTGATGTTTTGGGGCGTATGAGTGTTGACAATATGTATACGTATTGATAGCCTAAGAAATTTCTACAATATGTCCGATTTGTTAATAGAAATAAAAGGGTACCGGAAAAATATCAAAATTTCATAGAAATATTTCGATAACAAAAATATGGTTATTGGGCCATAAAAATCGGTATATTTCTTTTTGGTTGTTGGGGCGTATGAATATTGGCAAAATGTATACGTACGGATGGATATTCCAGGAAAATCCCGATTCCATTAGATTTTAAAAGAAATACCCAAAATATGAATTTGTGTTTTGGAGCGTATACATGTTAATACCATGTATACGCCCTAATGCCCCACGGAATTCCCATGATATGGTAGAATTGACAATAAAGATTATATGGTCCCGGAAAAATATACAGATTCTCCAAGTCAAAGGAAAAAATTGTTGGGCCATGTATACGCATGAATAGTCTAAAATCTCTCCTAAAATAAATACCACAAATATTGACGAAATATTAACTCTCGTCGGTCTTTGTTGGTGTTTAGAGCGTATAAGTGTTGACACCATGTATACGCCCCGATGGGCCAGATAATTTTCCATATATGCCTGAAAATAGGACATTTTTGTGGATTTTTCATAGGACAATTTTGTGAATTTTTGATGTGGTCAAATTGATAATAAAGATTATATGGTCCCGGAAAAAATAATAATTTCACAGATTTTACAAGTCAAAGAAAAACTTTGTTGGGCCATGAATAGTCGCCTTTATAGGTGCTATGGGCGTATGAGTTCTAGCAATATGTATACGCATGAATAGTCCCAAATCTCTTCTAAAATAAATACCACAAATATTGACGAAACATGAACTCTCGTCGGTCTTTTTTGGTGTTTAGAGCGTACGAGTGTTGACGAGGCCCTGATGGGACAGATAATTTTCCAGATATGCCCGATTTAATAATACAAATGTTTTTGTCCCGGAAAATAGGACAATTTTGTGAATTTTTCAAAACAAAGAGCAATTGGGCCATGAATATTCGTATATCTTCATTAGTTATTTGGATCGTATGAATGGTGGCAATATGTATACGCAAGGGTGGCCCAAAAAAGTTTTATGGCAAGTTTTATTAATAGGGATTAGAGTTGTGTCAATTTAGTTCACAGCTCAGTACCCCTGTTCCTGAACGTATGAGTATGGGTGTGATTTATTATGATTTCATAATACCCATACTCAGAATTCTCATACAAAACAACGGGAGTTCACAGAACTAGATGGGGAACTAGTTACTTCTATCGAACCAGATTTGTACAACTCGAATAGAGATCTTATGATTCAGTCCCAAAAAATAATGTTGAAGTTTCCTTGATTTCTTCCAAAAATAACCCGTAAAGAAAGTCTTAAGGTCGGGCGGGGCCCACTTTATGATACCCTACACCACTTTGCTAATTTAGTAGAAATCCACATAACAATTAAAAGTTTTTATGGGAGAATTCAATCCTACACGCTATGATTATAATTTAAAGTTCAAAGGGCTAATTATGTCGAGGCATTTGTGTCTTTTAAATTCGGACTTGTGTTGCTCATTTGGTGCAAAATTAATTTGAAATCAAATAAAGATATATATGGGAGATATATCCAAATCGGAACCGATCTCGATAAAATTTGGCAAAGATATTTCTGAGCGGTATTTAATATATTTCCCTGAATATCGTCCTTACGGAGTGCATATTACGGCTGTGGGCAACAAATATAACAAATCGGATGAACAATATATATGAAAGCTATAGCTATATCTGGACCGATCTGGAAATTTGACATACTAACTTCTAGACTCAATTCGGTCGTATTTGCCAAATTCCATCCCATTTGGACAAATATTAGACATTTGGTGCACAATAAAAGGTAAATCGGACGAAGTTATATATGTGGGAGCTATATCCAAAACCGAGCCGATCTCGATAAAATTTGGCAAAGATATTTCTGAGCTGTATTTAATATATTTCCCCAAATATTGTTGTTACAGAGTGCATATTATGGCTGCGGAAGACTAAAATAACAAATCGGAAGAACAATATATATATGGGAGCTATATCTGAACCGATTTTGATCAAATTTGGCATACTTATTTCCTGGCCTAATTTGATTGTGTGTGCAAAATTCCAGACTATTTGGGCTGATATTACACGTTTGGCGGCCAATAAAAGGTAAATCGGACGAAGTTATATATGGGAGCTATATGTACATTTTTACCGATTATCTCCAATTTCAATAGGGTTCGTCCTTGGGCCAAACAAATGATTTGTACAAAATTTCATCTGGATCGGGTAGTAAATGCTACCTGCATTTTGTTCACAAAAATACATGGACAGACGGCAGACGGACATGCATATATCGACTCAGAATGTGATTCTATGCAGATCCTCCAAAATGAACTAAGGGTCTATCTTCCTTTCCTTTTGCCTGTTACAAACAAAATTCACAAAGACATAATACCCTGACCACCTTGTGGTGTAGGGCTATAAAAATGGGAATCCGCTAATGGATATTCTCCTTTCTCTGTGGTATACTAGGCCGTATGAGTGTTGACAATATGTATACGCAAATATAACCGACTTCAAGGAATTTGGCATTAAATGCGGACTCGATAACACGAAATTTGCCACAAAATGAACACTTGATTTCATTCCTAACATAAAAAAAAATCTTGGAAAATCTTGAAAAATGTTAGAAAAAAAGGAAAAATTCCGCCAGAATTTTTTTTTCAGGAACAAGTGGACATATAACTCGAATGGAGATCTTATGCTTTAGTTCCAAAAATAACGTTTAAGTTTTCCTTGATTTTTTCCAGAATAAAAATGGGAATCTTCTAATGGATATTCTCCTTTTATCTGGTATACTGGGGCGTATGAGTGTTGACAATATGTATACGCATTAATAACCGATATCAAGGTATGTGGATTTAAATTTGGCCCTGATTACAAGGAGTTCGCCATAAAAATAATACTTGAGTTCATTACTAACCTAAAAAAAAATCCTGTATAAGCTGTTAAAAAAACAAAGAAAAATTCCGCGAGGATTTTTTATTTTTTTCAGGAACAATAAAAGACATATAACTCGAATGGAGATCTTATGCATTAGTCCCAAAAATAATGTTTAAGTTTTCCTTGATTTCTTCCAAAATAAAAATGGAAGTCCGCTAATGGATATTCTCCTTTCTATCAGGTATACTAGGGCGTATGAGTTTTGACAATATGTATACGCATTAATAACCGAAAACAAGATATATGGATTTAAATTTGGACCTGTTTACAAGGAATCCTCTAATGGATATTCTCCTTTCTATCTGGTATACTAGAGCTTATGAGTGTTGACAAGACGTATACGCATTAATAATCGATATCAAGGTATGTGGATTTAAATTTGGACCTGATTACAAGGAGTTCGCCATAAAAATAATACTTGAGTTCATTACTAACCTAAAAAAAATATTGGTAAAATTTTTGGAATGGGAATTAAAAATTCCGCCAGGATTTTTTTTATTTTTTCCGGAACAAGTGGACATATGTTTAAAAAAATCCCCACAAAATTTATAATAAAACCAAACCTTCTATAAAAAATATTGGAAAAATGTGACATGTACAAAAATATTTCCCCCTGGCTGTTAGTTAAGACTTTAAGCAGCTTATGATTAAAAATCTCATTACAAAACGCCAGGCTGACAAATATTGGGAGAGGTAAGATATTGGAAAAAAGTAAAGTTCAGTAAGCAGATGGAAAATATATAAACAATACCTTCATATGCCGAAATAGGCCACACAGAGGAGGAGAAGATAGGGGCCAATCCACAGCAAACTGGAATTTGTAGTAAATTCCAAGTCAGTAAGTCAGGCTTATAAAGGGCTAAATGGCACCAAAATTAAAGCTCAAGACGAAAAATTGTAATTTTAGGTTTATTTGGGTATTTGGAATATTTTTGTTATTTTTTTTTTTTCGATTTTAGATTTTTTTTTTTAAACATTTTAGGAATTTTCACTTAATTATTTATTTTTTTTATATTTTTTTCCCCTTTGTCAAAAATTTTTTTTTTCACAAATTTTCTCTCTGAATACCCATCCTCTAGACCGTGAAGACCTGCACAAATATTTTCATTTCTTTCACAATTTACCACATAATTATTGTCACGAAATTCTTTTCATTCCCACGCACACCAGCCGGCTCAAAAATGTTAATTCATTCATAATTTATTTCCTTTTTTTCTCACTCATAACAAAAAAATCAGCGAACGTATCCCCATTAAAAGGATATCCTTATTTCTATGGCCACACAAAAAAAAACAACAACATCTGAGCGAAAAAAAAACGATCCTTTAGGCCATTTTCTATTAAAATATTCACTCTATTCAAAAGCACACACACAAAAGAAATTCCATTTTTTTTCTTTGGTTTCAAAAAAATTTTTTTCTCAAACGTTTCACAAAACCGTTGAAACCGAATGACTTTTTCTCAGACACCGCGTTGTTGTATTCCGTTTGCAAACCGTTCATAAACTGACCTTTTCATTTCACCGACACTTCGTTTTTGTTTGCATGTTAAACAGTGGCTCTGCGGGGCTCAGTATGTGGATGTTATGTTACTAACATTTAGCCACAGAGAAAGCAACAGTTTTCCCATGCCAAGGAATGACATCCACAAACAGGACACTAAAGGTCCAACACGTGCATTGGCACAATGGTAAACAGAGAGCCAGATTTTAGCGGGATATGTAGAAAGCATGCGCCGGATGGAAGCTACGGAGGTCACTGGGAAAATTTTGGAAAAATATTTGAAATATTTTCTAAAATAAAAAATGTAATTCTGTGGCAGGACGAATTTTTCTCTAAAGAAAAAACTTAGTCCTGTTTCAGGACAAATTTTCTCCAAAGAAAAAACTTAGTCCTTTACCAACAGGACGATTTTTTTTTTTCTGAAGAAAAAACTTAGTCCTGTGGCAGAAAGGACGAATTTTTTTCTAGAGAAAAAACTTAGTCCTGTGGCAGAAAGGACGAATTTTTTTCTATAGAAAAAACTTAGTCCTGTGGTTACAGGACGAATTTTTTTCTATAGAAAAAACTTAGTCCTGTGGTTACAGGACGAATTTTTTTCTATAGAAAAAACTTAGTCCTGTGGTTACAGGACGAATTTTTTTCTATAGAAAAAACTTAGTCCTGTGGTTACAGGACGAATTTTTTCTATAGAAAAAACTTAGTCCTGTGGTTACAGGACGAATTTTTTTCTATAGAAAAAACTTAGTACTGTGGTTACAGGACGATTTTTTTTCTATAGAAAAAACTTAGTCCTGTGGTTACAGGACGAATTTTTTTCTATGGAAAAAACTTTGTCCTGTGGTTGCAGGACGAATTTTTTTCTATGGAAAAAACTTAGTCCTGTGGTTACAGGACGAATTTTTTTCTATAGAAAAAAACTTAGTCCTGTGGTTACAGGACGAATTTTTTTCTATAGAAAAAAACTTAGTCCTGTGGTTACAGGACGAATTTTTTTCTATAGAAAAAAACTTAGTCCTGTGGTTACAGGACGAATTTTTTTCTATAGAAAAAAACTTAGTCCTGTGGTTACAGGACGAATTTTTTTCTATAGAAAAAAACTTAGTCCTGTGGTTACAGGACGAATTTTTTTCTATAGAAAAAAACTTAGTCCTGTGGTTACAGGACGAATTTTTTTCTATGGAAAAAACTTTGTCCTGTGGTTGCAGGACGAATTTTTTTCTATGGAAAAAACTTAGTCCTGTGGTTACAGGACGAATTTTTTTCTATAGAAAAAAACTTAGTCCTGTGGTTACAGGACGAATTTTTTTCTATAGAAAAAAACTTAGTCCTGTGGTTACAGGACGAATTTTTTTCTATAGAAAAAAACTTAGTCCTGTGGTTACAGGACGAATTTTTTTCTATAGAAAAAACTTAGTCCTGTGGTTACAGGACGAATTTTTTTCTATAGAAAAAAACTTAGTCCTGTGGTTACAGGACGAATTTTTTTCTATAGAAAAAACTTAGTCCTGTGGTTACAGGACGAATTTTTTTCTATAGAAAAAAACTTAGTCCTGTGGTTACAGGACGAATTTTTTTCTATGGAAAAAACTTTGTCCTGTGGTTGCAGGACGAATTTTTTTCTATGGAAAAAACTTAGTCCTGTGGTTACAGGACGAATTTTTTTCTATAGAAAAAAACTTAGTCCTGTGGTTACAGGACGAATTTTTTTCTATAGAAAAAAACTTAGTCCTGTGGTTACAGGACGAATTTTTTTCTATAGAAAAAAACTTAGTCCTGTGGTTACAGGACGAATTTTTTTCTATAGAAAAAAACTTAGTCCTGTGGTTACAGGACGAATTTTTTTCTATAGAAAAAAACTTAGTCCTGTGGTTACAGGACGAATTTTTTTCTATAGAAAAAAACTTAGTCCTGTGGTTACAGGACGAATTTTTTTCTATAGAAAAAAACTTAGTCCTGTGGTTACAGGACGAATTTTTTTCTATAGAAAAAAACTTAGTCCTGTGGTTACAGGACGAATTTTTTTCTATAGAAAAAAACTTAGTCCTGTGGTTACAGGACGAATTTTTTTCTATAGAAAAAAACTTAGTCATGTGGTTACAGGACGAATTTTCTATAGAAAAAAACTTAGTCCTGTGGTTACAGGACGAATTTTCTATAGAAAAAACTTAGTCCTGTCGTTACAGGACGAATTTTTTTCTATAGAAAAAACTTAGTCCTGTGGTTACAGGACGAATTTTTTTCTATAAAAAAAACTTAGTCTTGTGGTTACAGGACGATTTTTTTCTATGGAAAAAACTTAGTCCTGTGCGTACAGGGCGATTTTTTTTTCTATAGAAAAAACTTAGTCCTGTGGTATACAGGACGAATTTTTTTCTATAGAAAAACTTAGTCCTATGACAGGACGATTTTTTTTAATTTAATATCTTAACAAGATCTTCCTAGCAGCTACCAAGAAACACCTGCATCTGTACCAAATTATCAACAGTACCCGCTCTTCCACCTAGTGAACTGAAAATCCAATCGCCAGCAGCAAATGGAATACAATTGCCTTCTGATGCTTCAATTACCCAAAATCCGGCTACATGCAAACACGACGACAACACCAGTAACAACAACAAAAACAACTAATCCCATACCAAAGATTTCAAGATTTGCCAAGGACTACTTAAAAGGAGAACATAACCATGTATGAGTGCCTTTGTGTAAGTGAGCGTAGAACACACACACACACCCTCCTTCATCTTGGCGAAAATTCCTTCTCCAGCTTTTCTTGCATTCCTTTTGGAAACTCTGCCAAAGGAGAAATTATACAAACATTACGCCTTTTCAGCTCAACATCTTCAATGAATTTTCTTTCTACACCTGGTTTGCAGATAAAAGTCAATTGAATTAAGGAAAACTATTTTCCTTGCCCTGCCACTGCCACTTCCACTTCGCAGATGCCCGGAGAGCGATAACAATGTCTATGGTTACCTCTTTGACCAATTTCACCCGCTGTGTTTGAGCTTTGCTCGCCCACATTGTTGATGCAAGGCCTTTGATAACAAGGATAGTTTGTTCGAAGTCGGTGAGGAGGAGGGGAAGGGGAGGAAAATCTCCTCCAACTGTGTTGCAACTAAGTCCAAGTATTAGCAAATATCATCATCGATTACAACTTGAAAATAGTTTTCCTTTATGTTTTCCTTCTCCTTTTTTCTTCGGTTTCTTTTGTCCAATCATTATTTATTATTAGGTAGCATTTGTCCGCTGCTTCCTTTCCATTGCTCCTTTTTGCTCTCAGTTGTGGAAAGTCCTTAGATTTTTTTGCCATTTGCCAGTATTTTTATTGTCCAGGCTTTGTGGATGGCTTGGATTTCTTCAATGTTCGTAAAATCACAATAATTGAGTTTTCCATTAATGTGGCCAAAGTAGTTTTTGGGAGATGATTGTTAGGTGCATTGGAACAAGGACTCACAGTGGTTAGGGATAGGAAAAATAAAATATAATAAGTTTTTTCTTTAGAAAAAAAATTCGTCCTGTACCCACAGGACTAAGTTTTTTTCTATAGAAAAAAATTCGTTCTGTACCCAAAGGACTAAGTTTTTTCCATAGAAAAAAATTCGTCCTTTAACCACAGGACTAAGTTTTTTCCATAGAAAAAAATTCGTCCTGTAACCACAGGACTAAGTTTTTTCCATAGAAAAAAATTCGTCCTGTAACCACAGGACTAAGTTTTTTCTATAGAAAAAAATTCGTCCTGTCGGCACAGGACTAAGTTTTTTCTATAGAAAAAAATTCGTCCTGTCTGCACAGGACTAAGTTTTTTCTATAGAAAAAAATTCGTCCTGTCGGCACAGGACTACGTTTTTTCCATAGAAAAAAATTCGTCCTGTCCGTACAGGACTAAGTTTTTTCCGTAGAAAAAAATTCGTCCTGTCGACACAGGACTAGGTTTTTTCCATAGAAAAAAATTCGTCCTGTCGGCACAGGACTAGGTTTTTTCCATAGAAAAAAATTCGTCCTGTCGCCACAGGACTAAGTTTTTTCTTTAGAAAAAAAATCGTCCTGTCGCCACAGGACTAAGTTTTTTCCATAGAAAACAAATCGTCCTGTACCCACAGGACTAAGTTTTTTCTATAGAAAAAAATTCGTCCTGTACCCAGAGGACTAAGTTTTTTCTATAGAAAAAAATTCGTCCTGTCGGCACAGGACTAAGGTTTTTCCATAGAAAAAAAATCGTCCTGTCAGCACAGGACTAAGTTTTTTTTTTAGAAAAAAATTCGTCCTAGCACAGGAAGACCTCAGGTCTTCATAGAGAAGACCTCAGGTCTTCTTAGAGAAGAACTCAGGTCTTCATAGAGAATTCCTCACACCTTGAATCTCACTCGAATCCCTGTGTCCTCCATTGAAAAAAAAACATTGCCATTTTAGAAAATCAAAAACCATACTTTTATTGTAGGAATGCTATTACATGTATTATTGCAAGTGTGGATGTGTGTGTGTGTGTGCCTTGTGTGTCCTTGCATCCTTGTGTATGTGTGTGTGTAAGTGCCTGCTCTCGTTTTATTTCCATTTTCAATTTACCAAACATTGTTAGATTTTTATTGTTAAAATGTTGAGAGCATTTTATTTTGGTCCTTGCCGAAGGACCAAGAACAACTACAACAACAACAACACCATCATATGCATACATTGTAAGCGATAAGTAAAACATTGTCCTTTTTCTGTTGCTGGCGCTTTCAGGGAAGTGCTATTAAAGGTGAATTCGTAAATGTCTCTGTGTGGGTGAGTGCATTTCTTGGTGTGGTGGTGGCCACTTGGGCTGAGCCTGTCTTGTCTAAGGCCTTTGCAAGCCGATCTTTCTCCAAGGTGCAAAAAATAACTTGAGGTGAGTTAATATTTTCTTAAGATTCAAATCCAGCAGCAAGACCTTGCCGGCCAGTAGGTGGATCAGGAGGATGTGGGGTTGCATTAATTGCTATCCATTGCCCTGGCGATTTTTTGACGACTGGAAAACTCCAGCCACCTGGACATCGTCCTTTTTGACGGCAGCGTTTGAGTTGTTGGCGGCAATTTGCATTTCCGTCACCCCAATGTTGGAGATGATTTCCACGGTGGCATTTATCTGGGGCGCCTGGGTGTTGGTTTCAGGTGGTGGTGGTACTGGGGATTCGGTGATACTTTCTGAAACTTCCAGTGGCTCTTCCAGTTGCGCGGTATCTGAGTTCTCATCTTCATCTCCGTTTTGGGCGTTTCTTTTGTCAATTTTGTCGATGAGCTTTTCCTCGGGCTCCGTCACCGTCTTGGGTGGGCATTTGGTGGTGGTCTCAATGGGTTCAACTCTAGGTGGATTTTCTTCCTCCTCGCCATCATCAACGATTCCTTCTTCAGGTTCGAGAGCTCCTTCAGTTACTTCACCAGCCTCGGGGTTGGCTTCGGTTTCTTCACCAGGCTCTGGTTTTTCTTCAGGGTTTCCTTCGGGTTCTTTGTCCCCATTTTCATCTCCTTCAGGATTATCGTTATCAGCTTCGGGTTCTTCTTCGGCTTCTGGATTATCTTCGTTCTTCCCATTATTTTCACCTTCCTCTGCGGAATCTCTTCCTGTATTTTCGGGCGCATCTTCCGGAGCTTCATCCGGATTTTCTTTCGGCTCTTCTGCTGCTGGTGCTAAATCCTCAGCTCCCTGAGGCGTGTCTGCTCCCTCTTCATTCCCTTCACCTTCTTTTCCAGTTTCTGGAACATCTTCGGGTTCTCCTTCAGCTTCTGGGCCTTCAGGATTCGGCTCTTCTGCTCCCTCTTCATCCCCTTCACCCTCTTTCTCAGATTCTGGAACTTCCACGGGTTCTCCTTCAGTGTTGGGCTCTTCAGAATTTTCGTTGGGCGCCACTTCTTCCGTGGGTTCGCCATCCACCTCCTCAGGTGGATTTGGTTGTTCCTCCTCGGCCTCGCCTGTTTCTTTTTCCTCACCATCTCCTGCTGCTTCGGGGTTTTCTTCTTCTACCCCTTCTTCATCGGTTTCTTCTTCCACCTTTTCTTCTCCCTCTGGTTCTTCTTCTGCATTTTCTTCTTCACCGCCCTCCTTTTCGTCTTCTTCCTGCGGTTGTGGAGGAACTTCATCTTCAGGGTTTTCTTCAGGGACTTCTTCTACCTCATCCGCTTCACCTTCCCCGGGAACTTCTTCCACATTTTCCTCTTCATCTACCTTTCCCTTCTCTTCCTCTGGAATCTCGGCCTCTCCTTCCTGGGGTTCCACCGGGGAAAAGGTGAAATTCTCACCATTTTCTGCATTTCCAGTCCCTTCATCTCCTTCTGCGGGGACCTCATTGTCTTCTCCTTTCTCCTCAGGCGGAGTTTCTTCTTCAGTCTTTCCCTCATCTTCTTCATTTCCTTCTCCGATTTCTCCTTCCCCATTTTCTTCGGCAGCCTCGTTAGGCTCCTCTGGTTCAGGATCAGGCTGCGCCTCTCCGGTTTCCGTGTCCCCCTCATTTTCATTTGATGGCTCTTTGTCGGCTACCTCTACCGCATCCCCTTCACCTCCTCCTCCCCCCTCGGCCCCATCTCCATCACCTGGCTCAATTGGCGGATATTCAGCATCACTATTACCCGCTTCATCACCTGGTATCTCCTGAACTTCAACTTCCCACTCTTCCTCCTCGATCTCCGCACCTACTCTTGAGCCCACATAAACCACCAAAACCCCATAACTTGGCACCACCTCCTCTCCACCTCCTGCCTCTTCCACGTTCTCAGGACCACCATCCTCTATTGGAGCAAAAGTGAAATCCTCCGTCTCATCCAAACCACCATCCCCCTCACTCTCCGATGCCACCGGCAAATTAATCTTTGCATAACCATCGGCATTCACCATCAAACTACGACCACGACACCCCTGGCCATTCTTCTTCAGGCCACCACTGACAATGTCACAATACACCCCCTCCTCCTCGAGACAGGTATAGACCTCCATTTCGAAATCACGTTCCGCATCATTGTTCATGGCCACGAAGGCTTTGTGACCCCTACAGAAGGCTATCTGATTTGGTCCATTCGTTTGGAAATGTATAACACTATCCTCCCCCTGGCCCGGTTTGGAAAAGTAATTGGCCAGCTTCACCAGCTGCAGCATGGGCGGCCAACGATGTTCACAAACCCAACCAGAAGAGGGCAAACATTGCTGTTGTTCATTAAACTCCGGCGAACGTATTTCATCTCCATCCTTCTCATCCGCCGGAGGTCCTTGATCAGGATTCCGGAAATAATATGAACTCATTATCCTTTTTATTCTGCCATAGGGATGGGCCAACATCAGAGCATTCGCCATAATATATTTGTGGCGTTGTTTATAGGTCAGGGCCCGATTTTTGCCCAGCTGCGGCGGAAGTCCTCTTTGGGTCTCCGGCGAGTCGATGAAGACCAGGGAATCTTGATGGGGTAAAAATCCCATTGCCGGTCCCCAATTTATGAGAGAGCTTAGGGGAGCTTTTCCTTGAAGTATGGTGGCTATTTCGACGCCATATAGATATTCGCTTACCACCCCGTAGGTGGAGTATTCAGTTCTGAAATTAAGAAATCAAGGGAAAATTTTTCAAATAACGGACATGGGAGAGCTTGTGCTCTCTCCCATGGCTCATAGGGGAGCTGAAGCTCTCCCATGGCTCATAGGGGAGCTGAAGCTCTCCCATGGCTCATAGGGGAGCTGAAGCTCTCCCATGGCTCATAGGGGAGCTGAAGCTCTCCCATGGCTCATAGGGGAGCTGGAGCTCTCCCATGGCTCATAGGGGAGCTGGAGCTCTCCCATGGCTCATAGGGGAGCTGGAGCTCTCCCATGGCTCATAGGGGAGCTGGAGCTCTCCCATGGCTCATAGGGGAGCTGGAGCTCTCCCATGACTCATAGGGGGGCTGGAGCTCTCCCATGACTCATTGGAGAGCTGGAGCTCCATCTATGGCTCATAGGTGAGCTGGAGCTCCATCTATGGCTCATAGGTGAGCTGGAGCTCCATCTATGACTCATAGGTGAGCTGGAGCTCCACCTATGGCTCATAGGTGAGCTGAAGCTCAACCTATGGCTCATAGGTGAGCTGGAGCTCCACCTATGGCTCATAGGTGAGCTGAAGCTCAACCTATGGCTCATAGGTGAGCTGAAGCTCAACCTATGGCTCATAGGTGAGCTGAAGGTCAACCTATGGCTCATAGGTGAGCTGAAGCTCAACCTATGGCTCATAGGTGAAGCTCCAGCTCACCTATGAGCCATAGGTTGAGCTTCAGCTCACCTATGAGCCATAGGTGGAGCTCCAGCTCACCTATGGGTCATAGATGGAGCTCCAGCTCACCTATGAGCCATAGATGGAGCTCCAGCTCACCTATGAGCCATAGATGGAGCTCCAGCTCACCTATGAGCCATAGATGGAGCTCCAGCTCTCCAATGAGTCATGGGAGAGCTCCAGCCCCCCTATGAGTCATGGGAGAGCTCCAGCTCCCCTATGAGCCATGGGAGAGCTCCAGCTCCCCTATGAGGCATGGGAGAGCTTCAGCTCACCTATGAGCCATAGGTTGAGCTTCAGCTCACCTATGAGCCATAGGTTGAGCTTCAGCTCACCTATGAGCCATAGGTTGAGCTTCAGCTCACCTATGAGCCATAGGTTGAGCTTCAGCTCACCTATGAGCCATAGGTGGAGCTCCAGCTCACCTATGAGTCATAGATGGAGCTCCAGCTCACCTATGAGCCATAGATGGAGCTCCAGCTCACCTATGAGCCATAGGTTGAGCTTCAGCTCACCTATGAGCCATAGGTTGAGCTTCAGCTCACCTATGAGCCATAGGTTGAGCTTCAGCTCACCTATGAGCCATAGGTTGAGCTTCAGCTCACCTATGAGCCATAGGTTGAGCTTCAGCTCACCTATGAGCCATAGGTGGAGCTCCAGCTCACCTATGAGCCATAGGTTGAGCTTCAGCTAACCTATGAGCCATAGGTGGAGCTCCAGCTCACCTATGAGTCATAGATGGAGCTCCAGCTCACCTATGAGCCATAGATGGAGCTCCAGCTCACCTATGAGCCATAGATGGAGCTCCAGCTCTCCAATGAGTCATGGGAGAGCTCCAGCCCCCCTATGAGTCATGGGAGAGCTCCAGCTCCCCTATGAGCCATGGGCGAGCTCCAGCTCCCCTATGAGCCATGGGAGAGCTCCAGCTCCCCTATGAGCCATGGGAGAGCTCCAGCTCCCCTATGAGCCATGGGAGAGCTCCAGCTCCCCTATGAGCCATGGGAGAGCTTCAGCTCCCCTATGAGCCATGGGAGAGCTTCAGCTCCCCTATGAGCCATGGGAGAGCTTCAGCTCCCCTATGAGCCATGGGAGAGCTTCAGCTTCTCTATGAGCCATGGGAGGGCTTCAGCTCACCTATGAGCCATAGGTGGAGCTCCAGCTCACCTATGAGCCATAGGTGGAGCTCCAGCTCACCTATGAGCCATAGGTGGAGCTCCAGCTCACCTATGAGCCATAGGTGGAGCTCCAGCTCACCTATGAGCCATAGGTGGAGCTCCAGCTCACCTATGAGCCATAGGTGGAGCTCCAGCTCACCTATGAGCCATAGGTGGAGCTCCAGCTCACCTATGAGCCATAGGTGGAGCTCCAGCTCACCTATGAGCCATAGGTGGAGCTCCAGCTCACCTATGAGCCATAGGTGGAGCTCCAGCTCACCTATGAGCCATAGGTGAAGCTCCAGCTCACCAATGAGTCATGGGGGAGCTCCAGCTCTCCAATGAGCCATTGGTGAGCTCCAGCTCCCCTATGAGCTATAGGAGAGCTTCAGCTTAAACTCCCCTTTAAGAAAATTAGGTCTAAAATTTTTTTCCTTACTTCGATATCTGATCCAATCCCATATCGAAGACATCATGGAAAATAAACGGCCTGGCCTTTTCCGGAAAATTATATTCGGTATTTAAATCCTTTAGTCCTTCGAAAATTAGCTGCAACGAAATAAAAATAAAACCACAATTTGCTACCTCTCTCTCTCTCTGCCCTCTCTTTTTCGCCCCTCCTTGCTCACCTTTAAATCAATTGGCCAAATGTATTTGGCCGAATCGATGCGAAATCCCGCCACTCCCATATCGATAAATTTATTTAGCATTGCCACAATGGCTTGGCGTACCGAGCTGTGGGAATGATCCAAATCGGGATGTCCGTTTAGCTGACAATTACGCATTTCTTGGGCATTGGAGCTGGCCAGGTTTATGGCGCAGTAGCGATGGAAATCCTTTGCCTCATAGGGCACTTCGGGATATGAAGATTGGGAGATGTTGACATCCGTTGCCAGCAATGTGTTGACAATGAAGTCCTGCTTTGGGGCTGTAGCTCCTTTTGTTGTCCTGTTGTTGTTGTTGAGCAGCAAATACAAAGGAGCTGCCATGTGATTTAGCACCACATCGACATAGAGGCGCACACCCAAATCATTGCAAATGCGGCTCATGGAATAGAAATCTGTTTCATCGCCGGAGCGGGAGCTTAGACGATAGGAGATGGTTTCGTAACGTTGCCACCATGGATGATTAAGGCCATCCGTTTTAATTACCGTATGTTCCAGGACGGGTGACAGCTGAAGAGGAAGAAAAGAAGGGGGTGGGAGAGAAGGGAAACAAAGGCAGGAGATAATTTTTAGGCCATTATTGTTGTTGCCCGTGGTTACCGTGGTGAAATACGCTGTTACTTACTTGTACCCCACCATAGCCCCGCGGACCCAAAAATCGCCGACACTCCTCGGCCACATCCACGAATTTCCATTCAAACAATTGCACCATCACCGAGCGTCCTTTGGTGAAATGCGGTCGATGATAGATGCCATCTGCGTCGTCACAACCCTGGTCGCCATCATCCGCGCTACCGGAACTCTGGCGACTTTTTCCACTATCCAATATTTGTTCCAAAGCCTTTTGTCGCGTGGCAGCTGTTCGTCCCAGCGATGGCTGGGCCAAGAGGCAAATTACCAAAATCTGGATAACAACAACAGCAACACCATGTGGTGTTGTTGCAAGGCTTTGATTTGTTGCCGCTGAAAGCCGTAGCCTCATTGTTGGAACTGCGTGTGTCCTTTATCGTGTGCGTGTGTGTGTTGGGGTGTCCAAGTTTTGACTGGACAATGGCTGGCTCTAGCCGCCTATATCAATGTTGCCTTTAACACTGACTGACTGCCTGGCCTGCCTGCTTGGCTGGCTGGCTGACTGAGTAACTGCTTAACTGCGTTTTCAGACCTTTTTTTTAGTTGTTGCTGTTGTTGTTGATGACTTAATGTCATTTTTCTTGTTCGCATTTGTGAACCTTGCATGGAGGTATGGATTTTCCCTGGAAAAACAATGCATTTTCCCATGAAGTCCAATGCAATGCCATCCTCCCTCTGCCCCGAACCAAAAAAAGGACACAAATGTTCGTGTCATGACACTTTAACATGCACCCATGACCAGGGAGACGCAGAGATCAAATGATTTTGCATACAGGCAAAAATATATTGGTTTGTATGTCGGATGAGGCTTTTTGTTGTTGTTGTTGCTCTCCGTGTTGTTTTTTCAATAAATTACAAAGTTATGTTCCCATTGTCCTTTCCTACCCAGGCGATGGATATTCATGACCCCTTCTGCTTTTGAATGAAAACAAAAAAACCTGGACATGAAATTTATTTCAGATTTTAATAACCCAAACACTACGAGGGTTGGAAAATGAGGAATAGAAGAGAGCTATAGCTCACCTATGAGCGATAAGGGAGCTACAACTCACCTAAAAGCGACAGGAGAGTTTCAGCTTACCTATGAGCCATTGGAGAGTTTCAAAGTTGAGAAGTGAGCAATGGAAATTTTCCTGTGCTACAAGTCCTAAAAAAACTATGCAACAAAATCTCCCGAAAAGAGGTCCTTTGAAAAATTATTTTTGAAAAAAAAAGGCAAAAATATATTTCTACTAAAATTCTTCAAAAGATGTTCTTGGGTTCCTTAAAAAGTCTAGAACTAGAGGTCCTTGGAAAAAAATATTTTTTTAAAAATTTCAAGGATTCTCCATTAAAGACGTTTCGAAAAATAGGCCTAAAAATAATCCTTCCGTGGGAATCCTGAACCTGAATTCTTTGGAAAAAAAATTCTTTACAAAAATTCAAAGATGAGTCCTCGAAATAATAAAAATCTCCCGAAAAGATGTCCTTTGAAAAATTATTTAAAAAAAAATGCAAAAATATATTTCTGTTAAAATTCTTCAAAAGATGTACTTAGGATCCTTTAAAAATCTAGGATTAGAGGTCCTTGGAAAAAAATATTATTTAAAAATTTCAAGGATTCTCCATTAGAGGAGTTTCGAAAAATAGGCCTAAAAATAATCCTTCCGTGGAAATCCGGAACCTAAATTCTTTGAAAAAAAATTACAAAAATTCAAAGATGAGTCCTCGAAATAATAATAATCCTTGCACTTCGCTGAAAGAGATCTCTGGATCCCCTTAAATTACCGAGAAGTAGTACATGGTTTATGATATTCATGACCCCTTCTGCTTTCGCATGAAAGCAAAAAATCTGGACATGAAATTTATTTCAGATTTTAATAACTCAAACGCTACGAGGGTTGAAAAAATGGGGAGTGGAAATTTTCCTGTGCTACAGGTCCTCGAAAAAAAACTATGCTACAAAATCTCCCGAAAAGAGGTCCTTTGAAAAATTATTTTTGAAAAAAAAAATATATATATATTTCTATTAAAGTTCTTCAAAAAATGTTCTTGGGTTCCTTAAAAAGTCTAGAATTTGAGGTCCTTGGAAAAAAAAAATATTTAAAAATTTCAAGGATTCTCCATTAAAGGAGTTTCGAAAAATAGGCCTAAAAATAATCCTTCCGTGGGAATCCTGAAAAAAATTCTTTACAAAAATTCAAAGATGAGTCCTCGAAATAATAATAATCCTTGCACTTCGCTGAAAGAGATCTCTGGATCCCCTTAAATTACCGAGAAGTAGTACATGGTTTATGATATTCATGACCCCTTCTGCTTTCGCATGAAAGCAAAAAATCTGGACATGAAATGCATTTCAGATTTAAAAAATACAAACACTACGAGGAATTGGAAAATGAGGAGTGGAAATTTGGAAAAATATATATATATATATATATATATATATATATATATATATATATATATATATATATATATATATATATATATATATATATATATATATATATATATATATATATATATATATATATATATTTCTATTAAAATTCTCAGAAAGATGTACTTGGGACTCCGTAAAGTCCACGGCAAGAGGTCCTTAAAAAAATATTATTTAAAAATTTCAAGGACTCTCCATTCAAGGAGTTTGGAAAAATAGGGCTAAACAATAATCCTTCCGAGGGAATCGTGAAGCTGATTTTTTTGGAAAAGAAAGTCTTTATAAAAATGCACAGATGAGTCCTTGAAATAAAAATAATCCTTGCTTTTCACTGAAAGTGATCTCTGGATATCCTTAAATCGCCAAAAATTCTGGAAAAGTCCTAGAGATTCTTAAAAAAATATATTAGAGGTCCCTAGAAAAAAATATTAATTAAAAATCTCAGAGAAGAGGTCTTTGGAAAAAAAAAAATAATTTTTAAAGGATCCTCTCAATAGAGGAGTGGAGTTTTAAAAATAGTTCTAAAAATAATCCTTCCATAAGGACACTGGACTTGAGTTCTTGGGAATTAAAATCATTACAAAAATCCGCTAAGGAGTCCTTGAAATAATAAAAATAATCCTTAAAAAATACTTAATATGTACTTGAAAAAATATTTTTTTAATGACCCTTCATAAGAATTCCTTGAAAAAAAAAATCTGTAACGAAAAATACCAAGAAATGTTCTTTGAAAAAATCCATAAATAGTCCTAGAGGTCCTTAGAAAAAAAAAATATTATTTTCAAGTCCAAGAAAATAGGTCCCTGGAAATGGAATTTTTTTTAGGAACCTCCATTAGGAACCTCCTTAGAAGAAATCTTTAAAAAAAATATTTGCAAACAAATTTCCGAAAATATGTGACCATGTCCTCGAAGAAAAAAATTAATTACCCTTCAAATTTCTTAAAAAATATGTAATTTAAAAATACCCCTGAAAGGTGCCCGACTAGAGGACCTTAGGAAAAAATATACAAAAAATGTTCCAAAACAAAAGGTCTTTCAAAAAATTATTTTTGAAAAAATGTAAAATATTGTTCTATTGAATTCGTTCAAAAGAGGTCCTTTAAGATATTATTTTTAAGAAAATAATCCAGCAAGCTACTATTTAAAAATTTCTTGATTGAGATCTCTGGAATATATATTGTTATTAAAATCACCGACAAGAGGTACTTGGATTAATATGTTTTTTTAATTCACATTTGTAGATCCTTTGAAAAAATCCTTAAAATATATGATTATGGAGAAAAAATTATATATATCCTTGGAAAAAAGCTTAATATCTACTTAAAATATATTTTTAATTTTTCCTTCAGAAGAAGTCCTTGAAAAAGCTGTACTATAAAAATACCAAAACCATTTCCTTTGAAGAAAAAATCCTTGAAAAGTCCTAGAGATTGTTAGTAAAAAATATTAGAGGTCTTTAGAAAAAAATATTATTTAAAAATCCCAGAGAAGAGGTCTAATTTCTCAAGGATCCCCTCAATAGAGGAGTGGAGTTTTAAAAATAGTTCTAAAAATAATCCTTCCGTACGGACACTGGACTTCTTGGGAAATAATGTGTAGACCCCACAAAGTATATATATTCTTGATCAGCATAAAATTCTATGTCGATTTCTGTCCGTCTGTGGAAATCACTCTAGCTTCCGAACGAAATGATGTAGGTTGATAATATTTTACTCAAATGTGTATTCTGTCTGCAGGACTTTTGGTATTGAAAATGGGCCATGTAGGTCCACGTCTTCGTATAGCCCCCATACAACGGTAACTCCCGATATGCGGTATTTTGATGATTTTAGCGACATTATTTACCGGAATTATTTCAAATATGGTATTTGAAGTTCGTAATAGATACTACAGCATAAAACAGAAAATTGGCCGTGTAGGTCCAGGTCTTCGTATAGCCCCCATATAACGGTACCCCCGGATATTCGATATTTTGATGATTTAAGCGACATTATTTACCGGAATTATTTCAACTTTGGTATATGGAGTTCGTAATAGATACTTCAGCCTAAGACAGAAAATGAACCATGTAGGTCCAGGTCTTCGTATATCCCCCATATAACAGTACCTCCCGATATTCGGTATTTCGATGATTTTAGCGACATTATTCACCGGAATTATTTCAAATGTTGTAATTGAAGTTCGTAAGGGAAACTACAGCCCAAGACAGAAAAGTGTCAGTGCAGGTTCACGTCTTCGTATAGCCCCCATATAGCAGTACCTCCCGATATTCGGTATTTTGATCATTTAAGCGACATTAATTACCGGAACTATTTTAAATTTAGTATTTGAAGTTCGTAAAGGATACTACAGCCTAAGACAGAAAGGTGTCTGTGCAGGTCCAGGTCTTCGTATAGCCCCCATATAACGGTACCTCCCGATATTCGGTACTTTGATCATTTTAGCGACATTATTCACCCGGATTCTTTCAAATTTGGCATTTGATGTTCGTAATGGATACTACTGCCTATGACAGAAACGTGTCTGTGCGTTATTTATATAGCCCCCTTATAATAGTACCTTTCTATAGTCGGTATTGTGATGATTTTGCTGATGCAGCTCCACGTTGTGGTATAGACCCTAATATAGCATTTTTACCGGACTTTTTTTATTTATTTATTATATTATTATTATTATTATTTTTTTTTTGTTTTTTTTTTTTTTTTTTTTGAAAATATCCAAATTCGTTCCAAATGGTTCAGTTTATTCAAAGTTCGGCCCGGCCGAACATACAGCTTTTTTGCTTTTTTTTATTTTTTTAAATTTTTTATTTGCCTATAATTCAGTATCTCTTAACAAATGCTTTATCAAAGGGCCTTTAAGTATAAATTGAAAAAAAATATTTTTTTTCTACAGCCTATCATTGTTTACTTTTCCCTCCTGGCCTTTCCCACCCTCCTTTTTATTATTCCTGCCCCTTTTTTATATTTTTTTTACAACCAATTGCCATTGTAAAATATTTTATATTAACCTTTATCTAGCCTCGGGGAATTTTCCGTTTTTTCATTTT